CTCACCAAGCAGAAGTCGCATGCTGTGGGGATGGCAACTGCTAGAGGCTACACCACGGGTATCGCCTGTGGGCTCTGTACAGTGAGGAAGTTGCTAACAGAGGGCGGTCAGGAACGGGGGGAGACATCCGCCTTTTCAGCAGCCAGGCGAAAGAAGTAGTGGCGAGGAGAGTGGCTCGGTAGCCGGTCTAGAGACAGGTCTGTCTCCTGACCCAGACGCAGCCGAGGGGGCTAGTAGTGAGGCGGAGAGACCCTACTGATGATGATGAGGCTGATGATCGCACTTGGCAGCCTCGTCGTCATCAGGCAATTTTTCTTCCGCATCATCAGGAAAGAGGGTGGCAGCTTGGCAGCGAGCAAAACAGTCGGTGGGGTTGCCCAGGAGACAGCAGCAGGGTCGCAGCAGTGTCAGTGGAGCCAAACGTCCACGGAGTAGAGCACCAGCTCCACTGCAGCCTACCACCACGGCCAGTAGTGGTGCCGGTGTGCACGGAGGAAGCAGCAGTCAGCCAGTGAGGAGTACTCGGGGGCAAAGTTTCCTACTCGGCGGGTGTGGCAATTTTTTCGTCAAGCCGCCCGAGGAAGTAAACGTAGCCGTATGTCGACTATGTGGCCAGAAAGTCAAGCGTGGCCGTGGGGGGCCCATGTTGGGACTACAGCGTTGCGGCAGCATATGCAGCGTCGCCATTTGGTGGCCTGGGAAAACCGTGATAAAAAGATACGGCGGTTCTGCCTGCCCCAGCCCCCCTCGCTCCATCACCCGCTCCGTTACTTGCTCCGTCACCCGACGTCAATCGCCCTCCATCAGCCAGTCAAGGCTCCAACACCTCTGCTGAGGGGAGTTGTCGCTCGTTGGCATCTTCTTCCGCTCGTTCAGATGCTCCTTCTCTCCTGCTACTCCTCTTCACGGATTCCGTCAGCAGTCTTTCTTGGAATCCGTTTCCAAGAGACAACAGTTTGCGAGCACGCACCCGACGGTGCAAAAGCTGAACGTCCTCCTGTCCAAGTTGCTGTGTGCTGCAGTCCCTCCCTTTCCAAGTGGTGGACTCAGCACCTTTCCGAGAAATGATGGCTTGTGCCGCGCCGCGGTGGAGAGTGCCAAAGCCGTCATATTTCTTCGCCAAAAAGGCAGTGCCAGCCCTGCATTCACATGTAGAAGACATGGTGGGCCAGTCTTTGAGCATGTCGGTCTCTGCCAAAGTGCACGGCAGCGCCGACGTGTGGAGCTGTAACTACGGTCAGGGACAGTACATGTCATTTACGGCCCACTGGTGTGAACGTGGTGCCGTCACAGCCGCACCAGCAACTTGGACAGGTCACGCCGCTTTTGCCTCCACGTTTGCACGTCCTTGGTCCGGCAAAGATGTCCGCCTCTACCACCTCTTCTTCCGCCGTGTCCTCAGCCGCCACCCCCCCCCCCGTGCCAAGTCCCATTACCCGACCGGCATATCACATGTGCAGGGCGCAACGGTGTCACGCTGTTCTGCACCTGGTATGCCTTGGCGAACGTAGTCACACAGGGGAGGAACTTCTGAGTGTAATGAACAGAGAAATCGACAGATGGCTGTCTCCGCGCAAACTGAAAATCGGAACCATGTTGACCGACAACGGAAAGAACATGGTGTCTGCTCTGCGTCAAGGAAGGTTGTGCCATGCGCCATGCATGGCTCACGTGTTCAATCTGGTTGTCAAGCGGTTCCTAAAATCCACCATCCCACTGCAAGACATCCTTAAAATGTCACGTAAACTTTGCATGCATTTCAGCCATTCCTACACCGCAAAGCACACCCTCCTTGAGCTGCAGCGGCAGAACGGAATTCCACAGCATCGCCTGATCTGCGACGTTGCAACAAGGTGGAATTCAACCCTACACATGTTAGACCGCCTTTACGAACAGCGAAAGGCCATCACGATTTCCTGATGTTACAAGCGGATAAAGGTACTCCCCTGTGTAACTTCGATGTCAGCCATTGGCAGCTCATGCGTGACACCTGCCGCTTGCTCAGGCCCTTTGAGGAGGCCACGCTATTCGTGAGTCGGCAGGACTATGGGATGAACGACGTCATTCCTCTGTTGCACGTCCTTGAACAAATGCTGTTAACAATGGCTGGTCAGGGTGCGGTAGACGTGGCGCACAGATCTCAACGCCACATGACCCCTGTGGGGGCAGGACAGAAGAGGAGGAGGTAGAGGAGGACACATTTGTGCTCAGGAATTATTGAGTGAAATGGGTGGTTTTTTCCACTCAGCGGACAGGAGTGGAGGAGCAGGAGCATCTGGTAGAGGAGGAGGAGGAGGAGACAGAGGACCCAGACGCACCGTGGCAGTATGCTGTGGAGATGGAGGCAGGGAGTCCCTCGCATTCCTTGGCACAAATGGCCCATAGCATGCTCGGTTGCTTGCGTAGCGACAGCCGAATAATAACCATCAGACAGAGGGATGACTTTTGGCTGTCCACCTTGTTGGACCCTCGCTACCGTTCCAAAATGGTGGCCTTTTTTCACACCTGCTGAGAGGGAGGCCAAAATAACGTACTATAAAAACCACCTATGTAGTCAGTTGGTCTCTGCCTTTGTGCGCCAACGTCCATCCTCAGACACTGTGGGCCCTGTGCGCTCGCGTTCCGCTGCCATGGCAGCAGGGGAGGGGTGGGGTGGTAGGAGCAGTGGCAGCTCCACCAGCAGCAGCTGCCTCAGTCTGCAGTCGATGATGAGTAGCTTTCTTCACCAGCGCAGTGAGGAAACTACTAACCAGCCGCAGCAGCAGCAGCAGCATCAGGTGGACCTGGAGCAGGACCTCAAACAACAGGCTTGGGCCTACTTGGACAGCACCCTGCCAACCGAGGTAGACAATCCCCTTGACTACTGGGCAACGAAACTTGACTTTGGCCCCAACTAGCTGAATTTGCCCTTGAAAGGCTGTCATGCCCGGCCAGTAGCGTGGCATCGGAGCGCGTGTTTAGTAGTGCGGCAGGAGGTATTGTAACTCCGCGGAGGACACGACTGTCCACCCAAAGTGTGGAGAGACTCACGTTTGTGAAAATGAATCAGGCGTGGATTAGTCTGGATTTCAAACCACCACCAGTTTCCTGACACAACTGACTAAATCCGCCATGAATCATGCCTCAAAAACATGTGCCACTTTGAGGTCTCCTCACACACTGCTGGTGTGTAGAATTTTTTGACATAGGGTGCTGGCAGATTATGGGCCTCCTATAGCTGCTGCCAGGCCCCTAATCTGCCATAGGCCCCTATATACCGCCTCCTCATGCTGCTGCCAGGTCCAGAGTCTCTCATGGGTCCCTGTACGGCCTCCCATTGCTGCTGTCTCCATCGCCACACTCTGCCATGTGCCACTTTCAGGTCTCCTCACACACTGCTGGTGTGTGAATTTTTTTGACATAGGGTGCTGGCAGATTACGGGCCTCCATAGCTGCTGCCAGGCCCCTAATCTGCCATGGGCCCCTATATACCGCCTCCTGCATGCTGCTGCCAGGTCCAGAGTCTGTCATGGGTCCCTGTACGGCCTCCCATTGCTGCTGTCTCCATCATCCCACACTCTGCCATGTGCCACTTTCAGGTCTCCTCACACACTGCTGGTGTGTAGAATTTTTTGACATAGGGTGCTGGCAGATTACGGGCCTCCCATAGCTGCTGCCAGGCCCCTAATCTGCCATAGGCCCCTATATATACCGCCTCCTCATGCTGCTGCCAGGTCCAGAGTCTGTCATGGGTCCCTGTACGGCCTCCCATTGCTGCTGTCTCCATCGCCACACTCTGCCATGTGCCACTTTCAGGTCTCCTCTCACACACTGCTGGTGTGTAGAATTTTTTGACATAGGGTGCTGGCAGATTACGGGCCTCCCATAGCTGCTGCCAGCCCCTAATCTGCCATGGGGCCCCTATATACCGCCTCCTCATGCTGCTGCCAGGTCCAGAGTCTCTCATGGGTCCCTGTACGGCCTCCCATTGCTGCTGTCTCCATCGCCACACTCTGCCATGTGCCACTTTCAGGTCTCCTCACACTGCTGGTGTGTAGAATTTTTTGACATAGGGTGCTGGCAGATTACGGGGCCTCCCATAGCTGCTGCCAGGCCCCTAATCTGCCATAGGCCCCTATATACCGCCTCCTCATGCTGCTGCCAGGTCCAGAGTCTCTGTCATGGGTCCCTGTACGGCCTCCCATTGCTGCTGTCTCCATCGCCACACACTCTGCCATGTGCCACTTTCAGGTCTCCTCACACACTGCTGGTGTGTAGAATTTTTTGACATAGGGTGCTGGCAGATTACGGGCCTCCCATAGCTGCTGCTGCCAGGCCCCTAATCTGCCATAGGCCCCTATATACCGCCTCCTCATGCTGCTGCCAGGTCCAGAGTCTGTCATGGGTCCCTGTACGGCCCTCCCATTGCTGCTGTCTCCATCGCCACACTCTGCCATGTGCCACTTTCAGGTCTCCCACACTGCTGGTGTGTAGAATTTTTTGACATAGGGTGCTGGCAGATTACGGGCCTCCCATAGCTGCTGCCAGGCCCCTAATCTGCCATAGGCCCCTATATACCGCCTCCTCATGCTGCTGCCAGGTCCAGAGTCTGTCATGGGTCCCTGTACGGCCTCCCATTGCTGCTGTCTCCATCGCCACACTCTGCCATGTGCCACTTTCAGGTCTCCTCACACACTGCTGGTGTAGAATTTTTTGACATAGGGTGCTGGCAGATTACGGGCCTCCCATAGCTGCTGCCAGGCCCCTAATCTGCCATGGGCCCCTATATATACCGCCTCCTCATGCTGCTGCTGCCAGGTCCAGAGTCTGTCATGGGTCCCTGTACGGCCTCCCATTGCTGCTGTCTCCATCGCCACACTCTGCCATGTGCCACTTTCAGGGTCTCCTCACACACTGCTGGTGTGTAGAATTTTTTGACATAGGGTGCTGGCAGATAACGGGGGCCTCCCATAGCTGCTGCCAGGCCCCTAATCTGCCATAGGCCCCTATATACCGCCTCCTCATGCTGCTGCCAGGTCCAGAGTCTCTCATGGGTCCCTGTACGGCCTCCCATTGCTGCTGTCTCATCCATCGCCACACTCTCTGCCATGTGCCACTTTCAGGGTCTCTCACACACTGCTGGTGTGTAGAATTTTTTTGACATAGGGTGCTGGCAGATTACGGGCCTCCCATAGCTGCTGCCAGGCCCCTAATCTGCCATAGGGCCCCCCTATATACCGCCTCCTCATGCTGCTGCCAGGTCCAGAGAGTCTCTCATGGGTCCCTGTACGGCCTCCCATTGCTGCTGTCTCCATCGCCACACTCTGCCATGTGCCACTTTCAGGTCTCCTCACACACACTGCTGGTGTGTAGAATTTTTTGACATAGGGTGCTGGCAGATTACGGGGCCCCATAGCTGCTGCCAGGCCCCTAATCTGCCATATGGGCCCCTATATACCGCCTCTCTCATGCTGCTGCCAGGTCCAGAGTCTGTCATGGGTCCCTGTACGGCCTCCCATTGCTGCTGTCTCCATCGCCACACTCTGCCATGTGCCACTTTCAGGTCTCCTCACACACTGCTGGTGTGTAGAATTTTTTGACATAGGGTGCTGGCAGATTACGGGCCTCCCATAGCTGCTGCCAGGCCCCTAATCTGCCATAGGCCCCTATATACCGCCTCCTCATGCTGCTGCCAGGTCCAGAGTCTGTCATGGGTCCCTGTACGGCCTCCCATTGCTGCTGTCTCCATCGCCACACTCTGCCATGTGCCACTTTCAGGTCTCCTCACACACTGCTGGTGTGTAGAATTTTTTGACATAGGGTGCTGGCAGATTACGGGCTCCCATAGCTGCTGCCAGGCCCCTAATCTGCCATAGGCCCCTATATACCGCCTCCTCATGCTGCTGCCTGCCAGGTCCAGAGTCTGTCATGGGTCCCTGTAGGCCTCCCATTGCTGCTGTCTCCATCGCCACACTCTGCCATGTGCCACTTTCAGGTCTCCTCTCACACACTGCTGGTGTGTAGAATTTTTTGACATAGGGTGCTGGCAGATTACGGGCCTCCCATAGCTGCTGCCAGGCCCCTAATCTGCCATGGGCCCCCTATATACCGCCTCCTCATGCTGCTGCCAGGTCCAGAGTCTGTCATGGGTCCCTGTACGGCCTCCCATTGCTGCTGTCTCCATCGCCACACTCTGCCATGTGCCACTTTCAGGTCTCCTCACACACTGCTGGTGTGTAGAATTTTTTGACATAGGGTGCTGGCAGATTATGGGCCTCCCATAGCTGCTGCCAGGCCCCTAATCTGCCATAGGCCCCTATATACCGCCTCCTCATGCTGCTGCCAGGTCCAGAGTCTGTCATGGGTCCCCTGTACGGCCTCCCATTGCTGCTGTCTCCATCGCCACACTCTGCCATGTGCCACTTTCAGGTCTCCTCACACACTGCTGGTGTGTAGAATTTTTTGACATAGGGTGCTGGCAGATTATGGGCCTCCCATAGCTGCTGCCAGGCCCCTAATCTGCCATAGGCCCCTATATACCGCCTCCTCATGCTGCTGCCAGGTCCAGAGTCTCTCATGGGTCCCTGTACGGCCTCCCATTGCTGCTGTCTCTCCATCGCCACACTCTGCCATGTGCCACTTTCAGGTCTCCTCACACACTGCTGTGTGTGTAGAAATTTTTTGACATAGGGTGCTGGCAGATTACGGGCCTCCCATAGCTGCTGCCAGGCCCCTAATCTGCCATAGGCCCCTATATACCGCCTCCTCATGCTGCTGCCAGGTCCAGAGTCTGTCATGGGTCCCTGTACGGCCTCCCATTGCTGCTGTCTCCATCGCCACACTCTGCCATGTGCCACTTTCAGGTCTCTCCACACACTGCTGTGTGTGTAGAATTTTTTGACATAGGGTGCTGGCAGATTACGGGCCTCCCATAGCTGCTGCCAGGCCCCTAATCTCCCAGGGCCCCTATATACCCGCCTCCTCATGCTGCTGCTGCCAGGTCCAGAGTCTGTCATGGGTCCCTGTACGGCCTCCCATTGCTGCTGTCTCCATCGCCACACTCTGCCATGTGCCACTTTCAGGTCTCCTCACACACTGCTGGTGTGTAGAATTTTTTGACATAGGGTGCTGGCAGATTACGGGCCTCCCATAGCTGCTGCCAGGCCCCTAATCTGCCATAGGCCCCTATATACCGCCCTCCTCATGCTGCTGCCAGGTCCAGAGTCTCTCATGGGTCCCTGTACGGCCTCCCATTGCTGCTGTCTCCATCGCCACACACTCTGCCATGTGCCACTTTCAGGTCTCCTCACACACTGCTGGTGTGTAGAATTTTTTGACATAGGGTGCTGGCAGATTACGGGCCTCCCATAGCTGCTGCCAGGCCCCTAATCTGCCATGGGCCCCTATATACCGCCTCCCATGCTGCTGCCAGGTCCTCATGCTGCTGCCAGGTCCATTGAGTCTCTCATGGGTGCCCCATGTGCCACTTTCAGGTCTCCTGCCACACACTGCTGGTGTGTAGAATTTTTTGACATAGGGTGCTGGCAGATTATGGGGGCCTCCCATAGCTGCTGCCAGGCCCCTAATCTGCCATAGGCCCCTATATACCGCCTCCTCATGCTGCTGCCAGGTCCAGAGTCTGTCATGGGTCCCTGTACGGCCTCCCATTGCTGCTGTCTCCATCGCGCCACACTCTGCCATGTGCCACTTTCAGGTCTCCTCACACACTGCTGGTGTGTAGAAATTTTTTGACATAGGGTGCTGGCAGATTACGGGCCTCCCATAGCTGCTGCCAGGCCCCTAATCTGCCATAGGCCCCTATATACCGCCTCCTCATGCTGCTGCCAGGTCCAGAGTCTGTCATGGGTCCCTGTACGGCCTCCCATTGCTGCTGTCTCCATCGCCACACTCTGCCATGTGCCACTTTCAGGTCTCCTCACACACTGCTGGTGTGTAGAATTTTTTGACATAGGGTGCTGGCAGATTACGGGCCCTCCCATAGCTGCTGCCAGGCCCCTAATCTGCCATAGCCCCCTATATACCCCGCCTCCTCATGCTGCTGCCAGGTCCAGAGTCTGTCATGGGTCCCCTGTACGGCCTCCCATTGCTGCTGTCTCCATCGCCACACTCTGCCATGTGCCACTTTCAGGTCTCCTCACACACTGCTGGTGTGTAGAATTTTTTGACATAGGGTGCTGGCAGATTACGGGCCTCCCATAGCTGCTGCCAGGCCCCTAATCTGCCATGGGCCCCTATATACCGCCTCCTCATGCTGCTGCTGCCAGGTCCAGAGTCTGTCATGGGTCCCTGTACGGCCTCCCATTGCTGCTGTCTCCATCGCCACACTCTGCCATGTGCCACTTTCAGGTCTCCTCACACACTGCTGTGTGTAAATTTTTGACATAGGGTGCTGGCAGATTATACGGGCCTCCCATAGCTGCTGCTGCCAGGCCCCTAAATCTGCCATGGCCCCTATATACCGCCTCCTCATGCTGCTGCCAGGTCCAGAGTCCATGGGTCCCTGTACGGCCTCCCATTGCTGCTGTCTCCATGCACACTCTGTGCCACTTTCAGGTCTCCTCACACTGCTGGTGTGTAGAATTTTTTGACATAGGGTGCTGGCAGATTACGGGGCCTCCCATAGCTGCTGCCAGGCCCCTAATCTGCCATAGGCCCCTATATACCGCCCGCCTCCTCATGCTGCTGCCAGGTCCAGAGTCTGTCATGGGTCCCTGTACGGCCTCCCATTGCTGCTGTCTCCATCGCCACACTCTGCCATGTGCCACTTTCAGGTCTCTCACACACTGCTGGTGTGTGAATTTTTTGACATAGGGTGCTGGCAGATTACGGGCCTCCTATAGCTGCTGCTGCCAGGCCCCTAATCTGCCATAGGCCCCTATATACCGCCTCCTCTGCTGCTGCCAGGTCCAGAGTCTGTCATGGGTCCCTGCCAGGTCCCATGCTGCTGAGTCTCTCATGCCACTCTGCCATGTGCCACTTTCAGGTCTCCTCACACTGCTGGTGTGTAGAATTTTTTTGACATAGGGTGCTGGCAGATTACGGGGCCTCCCATAGCTGCTGCCAGGCCCCTAATCTGCCATAGGCCCCTATATACCGCCTCCTCATGCTGCTGCCAGGTCCAGAGTCTGTCATGGGTCCCTGTACGGCCTCCCATTGCTGCTGCTGTCTCCATCGCCACACTCTGCCATGTGCCACTTTCAGGTCTCCTCTCACACACTGCTGGTGTGTAGAATTTTTTGACATAGGGTGCTGGCAGATTACGGGCCTCCCATAGCTGCTGCCAGGCCCCTAATCTGCCATGGGCCCCTATACCGACTCCTCATGCTGTGACGTTGCAACAAGGTGGAATTCAACCCTACATATGTTAGACCGCCTTTACGAACAGCAAAAGGCCATCACAGATTTCCTGATGTTAAAAGCGGATAAAGGTATTCCCTGTGTAACTTAGATGTCAGCCATTGGCAGCTCATGCGTGACACCTGCGCTTGCTCAGGCCCTTTGAGGAGGCCACGCTATTCGTGAGTCGGCAGGACTATGGGATGAACGACGTCATTCCTCTGTTGCACGTCCTGGAACAAATGCTGTTAACAATGGCTGGTCAGGGTGCGGTAGACGTGGCGCACAGATCTCAACGCCACATGACCCCCTGGGGGGCAGGACAGGAAGAAGAGGAGGAGGTAGAGGAGGACATTGGTGCTCAGGAATTATTGAGTGAAATGGGTGGTTTTTTTCCACTCAGCGGACAGGAGTGGAGGAGCAGGAGCATCTGGTAGAGGAGGAGGAGGAGGAGGAGACAGAGGACCCAGACGCACCGTGGCAGTATGCTGTGGAGATGGAGGCAGGGAGTCCCTCGCATTCCTTGGCACAAATGGCCCATAGCATGCTCGGTTGCTTGCGTAGCGACAGCCGAATAATAACCATCAGACAGAGGGATGACTTTTGGCTGTCCACCTTGTTGGACCCTCGCTACCGTTCAAAAATGGTGGCCTTTTTCACACCTGCTGAGAGGGAGGCCAAAAATAACGTACTATAAAAACCACCTATGTAGTCAGCTGGTCTCTGCCTGTCTGCGCCAACGTCCATCCTCAGACACTGTGGGCCCTGTGCGCTCGCGTTCCGCTGCCATGGCAGCAGGGGAGGGGTGGGGTGGTAGGAGCAGTGGCAGCTCCACCAGCAGCGGCTGCCTCAGTCTGCAGTCGATGATGAGTAGCTTTCTTCACCAGCGCAGTGAGGAAACTACTAACCAGCCGCAGCAGCAGCAGCAGCAGCAGCATCAGGTGGACCTGGAGCAGGACCTCAAACAACAGGCTTAGGCCTACTTGGACAGCACCCTGCCAACCGAGGTAGACAATCCCCTTGACTACTGGGCAAACGAAACTTGACCTTTGGCCCCAACTAGCTGAATTTGCCCTTGAAAGGCTGTCATGCCCGGCCAGTAGCGTGGCATCGGAAGCGCGTGTTTAGTGCGGCAGGAGGTATTGCAACTCCGCGGAGGACACGACTGTCCACCCAAAGTGTGTGGAGAGACTGACGTTTGTGAAAATGAATCAGGCGTGGATTAGTCTGGATTTCAAACCACCACCAGTTCCTGACACAACTGACTAAATCCGCCATGAATCATGCCCCAAACATGTGCCACTTTCAGGTCTCCTCACACTGCTGGTGTGTTCCATTTTTTGTCATAGGGTGCTGGCAGATTACGGGCCTCCCATAGCTGCTGCTGCCAGGCCCCTAATCTGCCATGGGCCCCTATACCGCCGCCTCCTCATGCTGCTGCCAAGTCCAGAGTCTCTCATGGGTCCCTGTACGGCCTCCCATTGCTGCTGTCTCCATCGCCACACTCTGCCATGTGCCACTTTCAGGTCTCCTCACACTGCTGGTGTATTCCATTTTTTGTCATAGGGTGCTGGCAGATTACGGGCCTCCCATAGCTGCTGCCCAGGCCCCTAATCTGCCATGGGCCCCTATATACCGCCTCCTCATGCTGCTGCCAGGTCCAGAGTGTGTCATGGGTCCCTGTACGGCCTCCCATTGCTGCTGTCTCCATCGCCAC